TTACTCGACGCTTGCACCAATGCAACCAGCCATTAAATATGTACAAACGCGCGTTAATCACATATTTGTAACTAAAACTTATGATTAATTTTATCAAATTTTTTCTTTATGTTTATCAAAATTTTCGATAATCATATTCGAAATGTATACGTATTATTTTCCTTCTTTTTAAATGCTAAGGTAACTATAGTTAACTCAGTTGAGAATACTTAACTGTTTTCAGCCAGCTCCTCATGTCATTTGTTAGTGATCGAGATATTGCTCATTGTTCTTCCTTTATGCGTATCATACTAATTGATCTTTATAACTTATCGAAACGCACCAATCAGGTAAAATGGTATCAGGTCAAGGTATTTTTTTTATTTTTGAAATTTTGTTTTAATGCACTATAACTAAAAGGAATTACTTAATTGAGTTACAGTACTTGCATTTAAATATTAAGTAATTCTCGTTTGTAATAAACTACATAGGTTTAAATTCATACTTTTGGGTGAAGCATAAATTTTATATTGGAAATTTGAATTTAAAAATGTACGATAAATTCGGAATAGTTCAGTAGTGTAATGAACTAGAAAAAGACAAATATGGACCTGTTTATTAGATCGACAAGTCCAGACCGATCTTAAAAAAATAGCTTAATTCTAATTATATATGGAAAATAGTTTAACCGGCCAATTGATTGATTGAAATTTAATAATAACATTAATATCTGCGTTTCACATTATGAATTGTCTGTAAATGCCGTAAGGATTATATTAATTGGCATGATCACGATTATAGTTTTTACTTTGACGACTGGCGAAACCCTAATAAAACTATCTTACAAAGGGTATCTCCGTTGGGCATTTCATATACTAAATAATCAAGTCTAAAGTATATATTACAATAAAAATTACTATACAGTACGGATTTTACAATCAAAATTTACATATAATATGATAAAAAAACTTTCCAATTACTTTCAGTTATCAAAACCAATTCGTAACAAACCCACGACTTTTTTGATTAGAACATCTAAAGATAACAAAATCTGTTTTAAAAGATTCAGCATTGACACTTATAATATGTTCTGCATCGTTTCACAATTTAGGACAATTTTAAATTTTCACTGATTTAGAAACAACTTTGGTCAATTCTTAACTCTACGAAATTTAAGGATCAAGTTTATTTGTAGATGACCCCTTCCATTTGCTGCTGGGGTGTGACTAGTGATGCAAACGGCTAGCTACGGCTCATTCATAACGGAGCTGAGCTGCTTTTTAGCCGAGCCGCTTTTAGCCGAGCCGTTTTTTAGCCGAGCTGGCAAGATCCGCAGCTCAATTTGCTATTATCATTATAAAAAAAAATTATTTGCCGGAAATTTTATTTAGCGGAAATGTATGTACGCACATACATATATCTTTATCATAATTTATATTTTGCAAGCATGTAGAACATAGTACAAGAACGCATCATTAAAATTTTTTTTTAAAAAAATATTTTTTAAAGAAAAAAAAAAAGTCTAAAAAATAAACATTTTTTTTTTTAAAAAAAAAAAGCTTTAAAAAAATATTTTTTAAAAAAAATTATTAGGGATGGGATGATCGTCAAGATTCATTTTACGATTGTTGTAAGAGTATGATTATTATAAAAGTACGATTATTGTAAAAGTACCCTCTACTCAAAAGTACTAATGATTTATAAATCGAAGCCATGTCAATGAGTATATGTAAATTAATAATTACCATATCACACTGATTAAAGGACCCGTTTTGCTACAATTATTGTAAGAGTAAGAATATTATGATATTACGATTATCTTTATAGTTTCCTAGTTTATTATTCATCAATTTTGTTGGTTTTATGAATCCTACGATATCATCGTCATCGTTATAGTTTATTATAGATTATTAATTTTTATTAATTACAGTAATTACATCGGCTCTGACGGCTCTAAACGGCTCCTTGTAACACAAGCTGAGCCGTTGGTTAGCTGAGCCGAAAATTAGCTCGGCTAAGCCGATCGGCTCGCGGCTTTGCGAAGCCGTTTTGCATCACTAGATGTGACTAATCAACTGGCGCGGCAAATAAGCACTAACCAATTTATTTATATAAATAAATAGTGTTTTTTTGTCACGCCATAGAGGTCGACACTTTATCCCGAAATTTAATAAAAAATTAGGGACTTAGAATTATTAAATTTTATTATACTACAGTACTACAAATGTATTGCGTATATCATATCAATTAATGTAAAAAATAAGTGATAAAGCTTTTGAATATTCAATTTTAATATACTTTCTCATTTTTCCTTATTAATTTTTCGAATACTGAAATAAATAAAAAAAATAAAAAAAAATATTAATGGTCAAATATGTTTTTTTCTATATTCATCACCTAGTACAGTTCATTTTTTGAGCATCATAAAACAGTTCAACAATTTTAAGTATAAGTTGCCAAAAAACCAACTGCTCTTCTAATGCTTATATATTCCAAAGAAATAACTTGCTATGTACATCATGGTGAATGCAATATTTCCACACCCCTATGTAGATCACTTTTTAAAACTTTGATCGATGTTATCTCTACAATTGTCTAATCAAATTCAATAAAATTTTTTTATTTGAATTCTACAGATTCATAGAATCAGAATAAAAAAGTTCATCAATAAAAGTTAGATAAAATTTTGCCATGGCTGATATTTTGATAGACGTTGAACCTTTTTTAAAACATTAATCGGGACACTTGCCGAACACTTAATAATGTGATGACCACGAAAATATCACTGGGTTCCTTGTTCTTGAAACAACCCCATTAATCGAAGGCATCTCGACAACCATCTGATCAAGTTCGATGGATTTTTTTTTATTCGAATTCAATGAATTCAAGTAAAAAAAAAATTATTCGATTTTGATCAGATGGTTGTCGAAATGCCTTCGATTAATGTTTAAAATATTAGCCATGGCAAAATTTTATCTTACTTTGATCGAAGGTATCTCGACCAAGTTCGATGAACCTTTTTTTATTCGAATTCTATGAAGTGTAGAATTCAAATAAAAAAAAATTGTCGAATATTATCGGGCGGTTATCGAGAACTTTGATTAAAGTTTAAAAATCTATCAAAATAATAGACATGGCAAATTTTAACTAACTTTGATTGAAAGTATCTCGACAATTACCTTACCAAATTTGATGAATTTTTTTTACTCAAATTCTATAAATTGTAGAATTCAAATATAAAAAATTCATCGAATTTATCAGGTAGTTGTCGAAATACGGTAATCTACTTGGGTATGGAAATATCAGTCCTCTAAAAAATTTATTATTATTATTATTATTATTATTATTTAATTTTATATGTAAAATTTTATGCAAATTTTATGACTGTTTTATTTATGCAAAAGTTTATCACTGGTTGTATAATTTTATCATCTGATGAGTTTATTAAATTTTTTTACCGATTGAGAATTTCAAAATTTAAGAATGACTTGGGTCTAGTGCTCTGAACGGGTCGGGTCGGGTTGACAATTTTCGGATTAGAGCTTCAACCCGACCTGAAATTTTAGGGCTAATATATTAAATTTTTTTAAAAAAAAATGAATTCAATCGTTCTTTTGGCTCTTAAACGTTTAATAATTCATGTAACGGTTATCACCGAAGTTGGCTAATCAAATCTAAGCGCGGTATGCTTATAAACTACAGTAAGAATCGTGCATTGCATATTCAAATCAATGAAGGTTTTTTTATTTTATCTTATGGATTCATGGGATTAATATAAAAAAGCTTTACTGATTTTGCTGTCGAGAAATCGTTGTTAGAAGTCAAAAGGAATTTAGGTGATTATTAAAACAAGGTCAGCAGTTAAGTTTTTCCAAACTTTGATCTATAGTACCACGATAACTGCCCACCTAAAATCGATGAAACTTTTTTATTTTTATTCTGTGATAGGTAATTGCTGAGATAAATATGCACCAATTAGATCTCTTCGAAGAATTAGACCAATTTCAAATATGTGTAATATTTTAAAGTTAGATTAGAATTAGAATTTTTTCATATTAAGCGCAGAATGTTGTTTAATAGTCGAAATTTCAAGTTATGCATCGACAGTTTTTTTAAAAATTGTGATTTTCACTATACCTATCTGCCGCAGCAAAATTTCACAGCAGATTCTCGATTTTGATTGGCTAATAGCGATGATCAAAAAATTTGGCCGGAATTACTCAGAATTCTACTAATGTAATCGCAGAGCCTATTTCCTGGTCAATTTTACCAAAATTTCTAGTTTTGTAATGAAAAAATTAAAAGTTAATTACAGCCGGAAATTAGTAAACAATTATGTAATGTTGGCCAAAATTTGCAGATCTGCGGTCGTTAACCAATCAAAATCGAGTGACAATTTTGTGTCGATCGTTTGAAGAAATCTGATTGGTGCATACTTGACTGTCTTTTGAGGATATTATTTAAAAATACATATGTACTTGCTAAAAAAACATAAAATACTTATTTGAGCATCTCTAAATTGGATAATTTTCGGTTCGGGTCGGGTTGGCTCGGAACATTACTTGGGATCGACCTAAATTGTGGTATTAGTGTTCCAAATCGAAAATCGATTAATCGATTAATTAATCGGGTTGGCAACTAATCGATTGATAACTTTATTAGGCAACTTATCGATTGTCGACATATTAATCGACTAGCTAGTTAATCGATTAATTGACTAATCAACTGATTTGTTTTATACCTTGATCATGTAATTATGGCTACGCAATTACATCCAAGCCATTTGATATACTAACTAATTGACTAGTCAGTTAATGATTAATCAACTAATCTATTAATCAATTAGTTGGCTATAATCGATTTTTAAATTTTTTTTTGCCTAACTAATCGATTGCATTTTTTGGTCCGATTTGTAACACTATGTGATATGACTCAAAACATATATAGCAAAAATTTCTGCTAATATAATAGTTTAAAATATTTGATTAGTTAAAATTTTTAACTGCACTTTTAGCTATACTATGGCATTATTTAGCAATATGTCCGTTGATCAAAATTTTTGACCACTTTCTTTTGATAGTAAATAATTTACAAATAAAACGTATATTGATTTGGAGCATTCTAGAATTTATTGCAGATCAGTATATGGCATTGGTGAGCAGATCAGTATGGTATTGGTGAGCAGTATCAGTAGAAATTATAGCAGCCAAGATCAGTATATCAGAACAGCAGTATGGCATTAGTGAGCAGATTAGTATAGTATTGGTCGAATTTGAAAAGATAGTAAATTAGTAAATTAGCAGATCAGTGAGCAGATTAGTATAGTATAGGCCGAATTTGAAAAGATAGTAAATTAGTAAATTAGCTGAGCAGATTGGTATAGTATAAGCCGAATTTGAAAAGATAGTAAATTCGCAGATCAGTGAGTATATAGGCTATCTGGAAATGATTATCGTGGCGTTGGTGTCCAATGTCCTATGTAGATCAAATACACGTCACTCTCGATATAACACTCTTGATATAACGGAGACTAAGTAAAATCTCGATATAATGGATCAAGATTCAGATTCACATCATAATAAATACTACTTGATACAATGGATTTACTAATAAAACTCGCGATAAAACGGATTTTAAAAAATTCTTCACTATGTGCCTGAGGTACTACGTTATATCGAGAGTGACATGTTAATGTATATTCTTATAGTAGTGTAATAAAAACGATGATAAATTTCGACAAATTTTTATTGAATTTATTACGTATTACTCATTTTATTAAAAAAGCGCTCTATTAGTCTAAAATATAGGTTCTGCAGAACAATTGAGTAAAATTTTTAAAGGAATTAATATTTAGGCAATTTCTATTTGTACAAGGGTGTGTATACATGGGTAATATAGAAACAAATTGATATTTCAAAATTTTGCTTATTAAATCACCTTTTAGCTTCTAACAAATCTCAAACCCACCCTCACCCTAACCATGAGTAAGGCTTAATTTTTCATTCATAAAAAATTGTTTAACTGGCATGTTACACAAATTAGTAATTTAATAAATTATCCCCATGTATATACACTACAAGTAAATATATAAATTTCCTAATATTTAAATTATTGTGGAGATATGATTTAAATTTTAGCAATTTTTTATAGTAATTTTATAATAAACTGTTAATTTTCAAACAGTATCTCCTCAATAATTTACATATTAAAAATTTTACTCAATTGCTTTGCAGACTTTATTTTAGCACTTTTTTTAAGAAAATTTTTAAATGAAGATTTATTTAATTCAAAAACTTTCAAAATTAGTAGGCCATGCCTTATTTCTCAATATTACACAGATGACAATTTACTAACAATATATACCTGCAACTAATTAATGCTATCTCTACTCTAGTATTGGCTGTTAAGAAAACAATGTTGGGAAATAGGCAGTTATGATACCTTTGTTAACTTTATCTTCAAAAATTGAAGCCTTCACTTACCAAGAAGCCTGGCCCTTAATTAATTGTATTACTTGTATTAATCAAATTGTTTCACAAAGATATCTCAGAAATCAGCCTAAAGCACTCCCAGAAGTTTAGGTGATGACTGCATATATATTATAGTTAGATGACAATTAGAAAGTACTATTTAAAATATCTATCAAAATAACAGCCATAGCAAAATTTTATAAAACATTGAGCAAAAAACTATCTAGCCAAATTCAATAAAGTTTTTTTATTTTGATTTTAAAGATATATAGAATCAAAAATAAAATAAAATAAAATTCATTAAATTTGGTTGTGTGGTGCCAAGATATCTTTATTCAAAGTTTTGAAAACATTAAAACATTTACTAAAATAACAGCTGCAGCAAAATTTTTATAAAACTTTGAGAGAAAATACCTTTGCAACCACCTAACTAAATTTGATAAATTTTTATTTTTGATTTTTACAGATATTTATAATCAAGATAAAAAAATTATTAAATTTAGTTGGGTGGTTATCAAGATATCTTTGCATAAATTCTTGAAAAAATGTAAATCTATTTTAAAGTATATTGTAGATCTATTAAAAAAGCAACCTCAGATAAGAACAAGGACAGTGCCCATATGTAGATTCTTGTTTAACATTACACAATATATAATTTTTTTTATATACTTTTAAAGTACTTCAAACATCTTGCATTGCTTGTGTAATAAGCTGAGTGTTGTCGACAATTTAAATATAGTCTATATTTAAATTATCAGGGTTTTTTTGGTGATACTTATATAATTATTGCCAAATCAATGAAATAAGTAATTAAATTAAAAGTGAATAAGCATTATTTATTTTTCTTAACAGCTATAATTTAAAAAATTTAAAATTTTTAAATATAATTCTGGGCAGCAGCTCATTTTTTGTTTTATATTATGAGAACTAAAATATTAATAATATATAGCTTTTTTTTTTATGTATTATTTTTTTTTATTTCTTTAAATTATTATTTTTTTAAATTATCAGAGTTTTGGTTGTTTTTTAAATTATAGTTTTTAATTTTTTCAAATTATTTTTTTTTCTTTATATATTAATTTTTTTCTTTTTTTAAATTATTTTTATTTTAGAGAGCTATCACTTATTACATAATTATAGCCTCTCTTCAGAGTCAGTTATTTGACAATTACAAGTTCTAAAGTAATCATAATATAAACTCTATATGATTAGTTATTTTAGAGCCTACAATTGTCAAACAATTGATTACTTTAGAACTTGTAATTGTCAAATAACTCTGGAAGGGGGCTATAATTATGTAATAAGTGATAGTTCCCTTATTTTTTTAAACCACTATTTATTTTCTTTTTAAATTAATAACTTTGATTTTTTCTGTACATAGCAGTGTATAAAATTTATGTATACAATTTTATTTTAGTGTGTATAATGTTTTCTAATTAACATATAAGTTGTGCACAATTTTATATAAAAGTTTTTAAAATATGCACAAAAAGAATACAAAAATTCTTTTTAGATTTTATATACTGGTACACAGGTTATGTAACTTTTGTCACTTGGTGGAGTTTCAAACTCTGTTTTAGCAGAGTTTGAATTTTGCTAATTTTGTGGGAATACAAAATGGCAAAAGTTATATGATTCTGCTACTTAAACAGACTTAAAAATCTCTGATTAATAAAGTTACTTATGATATGCTAGTCTTTGTTACATTTAAAAAAAGTAACATGCTTTATAAAATACCACTGTGTTAGCAAAGTATTTCATGGGGCACGTTACTTTTTTCAAATATAACAGAGATTAGTGTATTATAAGTAAAAAGAAGTTATTAAAATAGAATCAGATAATAATAACAAGATATTAAAAATGAAATTCAAGCAGAATGTTCTGGAAATATGTTAACAAATGAAATTAATAAAGAGCTTATTTTAAATATAAAACTTGAAGAAAAATGGCTTTATTTGAGCAACAAGCCAAACTTAGAAAAGAATTAGCCAAAGCAGAAGCTATTGAATTACAAATTGGCAACTAAAGATAAGTTTAGGTTTGCTATTATAAATGCAAATATATTTAGATCAGTTTTGCAAATTTGATTAATTTTGCATATATATGTAGAAATAAATATATTTTAGAATGCAAATATATTTTAATATGCTAATATGTATTACAAGTTCTTAATATATATAAAGCAAATGTAGTATTTTATAATATTTATATATTTATATATTAAAATAATATATAAAAAATTTTTAAGTATTTATTATAAGTACTACAGTACTAATATAAAAAAAATTATATAATAAGCATATATACTATCGAAATTTCATATGTCTGTATAAATTTGTAGTACTGTACAGTACTGCTTTACTGAATACCTTATTTTTGCTATACTTAAATTACAAATTTAAACATACATGCAGACAAACATAAATTTTCAAAATTGTTTTTGATACAATAGCTTTAATAACAATAAATGGTGAATCAACAATGTAGCTATTGATGCATCAAAACATATCTTTTGTATTACCATGTGTAATCCTTAAAAGTCCTCTGCTATGCTTCAGACAAAATCCTAATCTTAGTTTTCATAAGGTTTTTGGATTCTGAACATTTTTATTTAGAGTATCTGATTCTATTTGCTTAATATGTTTTTTATAGATACATTTTAGTAAAATTCAAAATTTATATAAAAATTTTATTTAAATATTATGGTATATAAAAATTACTTAATTATAATATGTAAAATTTATATATATATAATTTTTTTATAAAATTATATTTATATAAGTTACATAAATTTTATATAAACTCTATATTAAATAATATACTAGGGAACAGTTTTAAAAAACTGTTGTAAGTTCAGAGTGAATAAATTATCAAATATAGTTATGCATCAAAAACATAACTTTAGTTTGCATGTGAACAGATATTTTTTTCAAAGTTATGTTCTTGATTTTTATCACTATAATGCATCAACATCATAACTTTTGATGCATCAAAAATATAACTTTTAATGCACTTTACTCATCCAATATATGTTCTTTGCTACACTTTAGACAATAAAATTAATATATGGGGTGAGTCAATAAAAAAGAGCAAATTTTTTCTAAGTAAAAGTTTTCTTGATTTTAGGCTTAAATATCTTGGTAATTATCTTATCAAATTTAATAAAAAATTTTTATTTTAATTCTATATAATTTCAAGTTTAAAATAAAAAAATTTTTAGCAAATTTGATTATTGCTGTTTTCAAAATAGTTGAGAATAGCAAAATTTACAAAAAAAATTTTTTTATGTAAAAAACCCAAAAACCCGATTAGTTTAGAACATTGAAACAATTATGCGAGTACATATGTCAATTAGAATCGATTATTGATCATTGTTCTAAACTAATCAGGTTTTTATATAAAAATTTTTTTTGTAAATTCTGCTATTCTCAACAATTTCGAAAACAGCAATAATTAGTTGTTGAGATATTTTAATTTAAAAATTAAAAAAGTTTACTAAAAACTATTTGTCCCTTTTCTATTGACTCCCCTCCATATATAATTTTTATATAGTATTCTATATAACAACTATATAAAGTTGTAGATCTATATAGATTTTATAAAAAAACAACTTCGTGATGAAAGAAATAGCTAATTTTAAATACACCTACTATTATTAAATAAGAAACCAAATTAAATTAATAAGTACTATTATGGACTAAAAGGTAGATTGATGAAATTAGGCATAGTAAACCCGTGATTAAAGAGAAATTAATTCAAGAAATACTGGTTTATTAGTTGAGACTTATTGGCCAAATGAAATTAGTAAACAGGTTTGTAATTTAACTTAAGGCTTAGATTAAGAATGACTTATCAGCCAAATTAGCCTCATAACCAATGCAAAATTCAAAGAACCTGAACACATAAAAAAGAAAGTCCAAAATTCAAAAAATCTAAAGAGAAGAAACTGAGAATCAAGAATTAGTTAGAAGTAGTTAACAATATAAAATATTATAAAGGCAAAGCCTTCTTTATTATAATTATGTTGTACTTACCATTGCAAGCCTCTTAGTTATAGTAATTCTTCCTTGATTCTTTCATGATGAAAGATCTGATTTATCCCTAAGCCTCTTTAGTTCATTAGTTTAGTAAAAAGCTCTGTAATTTCCCTCATGTAAATATCATCCTATCCTACAGGATTCTGATATTCTTAACATAATACATTGAATAAATCATATTGATAAAATCTTTTAAATCAAATTATTGTCAAATCACTATCATCACACCTCTGGCGTGTTGTCTTATCACCTAAAATCATACATTTTTGTGTTTATCATATTAAAAGGATACAATTTACCCCGTAACAGTATGTATTATTTACTTTTGCAATGGTGGGAATAAGAAATAAATTTCCAGTTATATGAGGGCTCAAATGGCCCTCATATAACCAGAGATCTACCAGCTTATGGAATACAAGGGTATTGTTTTTCATTTTGATAAGGTCATAACAGCAGATCATATAATTTGTAATAGTGATTTCTTTTGATCTACAAATTCATCTTTATACATTATTATGACTATCACTACGCTTTGAAGGATAGGAGATGCTTAAAGCCTGGTCCATCCCGAATTTAAATTAACATTAAGGTTAGAGTTAGTTTAGGACCTATATTGGCTAGAATCAGAGACTTCTATATGCAAAATCGTCTTCCTGACATTTTTTCTTATTGTACCAAGATAGGTTTAAACATTTGTTTCTTGTATTTTTTGCATTTTTTATTTTTTTTTGCTTC